TTTTTTTTTTTTTGAGAGAGATTTTCACTATAGGGCATGTGCGCTTGCCAGACAGAGAGACAAAGAGACAGAAAGCGAGAAATCACCCCCCAGGGGGGATGGTCACACCGCAATCCCTTCTCCTCCAATCTCCTCTCGGGATCTTGGGCACGCAGGCACACGCGCCCGGCGTGAGTTTTAAGCCACCGGGTCCGGGACGCGAACCGCGGTTGACTACGTGGGAGTCCGGTGACATAGCCATTACGCTAACTGCTGGTTCCCACCACCTGTAGTATTTACTAGACTTGGCTGAAATGGTTTTTGGCTAGTTTCAAAAAACCAAATGCACTCTCAAAGGGCCAGGACAAGGCCCAGCTGTAGTGGCACAGGTAGGGGGGTGCTGTTGTACGGTGGCTGAGGCACATGAGAAGCCCGGGTTCATCTCAGCCCAACCTAAACAGGCACGGTACAGTGTTTTAAGCCTGTGGTCCTGGCTAACTGTGAGGCCGGAGCACAATATGACATGAGGAGACTGTGTCAAAAATCTCTCTCCCCTTCCTCAACTCACTCTGCCCCACAGTCCATTAAAAATATAATAATAATAAGGAAGAAAAGGGAAAAAAAAGGCCAAGACCAGCTGACCCTGGAGATGGGAAGTGACTAAAGCAAAATGAGTTACCTCTGAGTTGTAGGGCCCACTCGGCATGACTTCCTGCAGCTGGGAAAGATTCCTTACAGCCGGCAGAGTGATTACACTTTTGGTGATAAGACTGAACAAGTCAGCTCGATCTTCTGAACCAAATAGCAAATGAACATCTTGGTAACTAAGAAGAGACAGTTTGGAAACAGCAAGCTGAGAGGAGAGTTGGATTTGATATCAATACACAGGGATTGTCTACCCAGCCTCTATGGAAGAGTAGACTGGTTAGTGTGTCATTCTGACAGAAGAAATAAATGGCATGGCTTGTCCGTTTGCTTAGGAAAATATCTTAAGTTTGTCACCAAGAAGTCACCAGAGTGAAATCCTTCCAGGCTTCCTTCCAATTTAACCACAGAGCAGACAGAGCCTGTTACAGTCTAATGTAGTAAGCCACGATTTTCCAGTGTTCTGCTGAATGTTAGTCTGGGGGATGGTGAGTTGAATCAAGTTAACAACTTTGCAACTTCAGGACTTCTTATGACCTTTCATCAGTTTAAGCATTGCCGTACAAACCTCTAGAGAGGTAAACAGCAGGCAGCCCTTTCCAGCTTCTTCGACCTTGGAACTCTACTGCCATGAAGCATGAGATAAATTCCCATTGAATTTACTTTGGGCAAAACTAAACTCCAGAGAGGTTTTGAAAGCCTTGCAGACAGGGATGGTAACATACATGACATCAAAGTTCTTACACAAAAATACAGGGATTTGGCTTCCCCATTCCATATCCATTATAGTTCTGATATGGAACCTGTCATTTGACTGTGGTATTGCTGTGAATGAGGAACCAGGATGCATGTGTGAGGGGCATGTGGGTGTCACCTGAGGTCAGCGATGGTGACAAACACCTCCTGGCGCACAGGGCTGAATAGAGAATGCAAGGGCTCTTCCTGCACCAGAACCTGCAATGACGGAAAGGACGTTAGGGAGCTGGGACTCTACCAGTTCAGTAGGCCAGAGGTGATGGGGGACAGCCTGCACGAGCAATAGCAGGCTCTTCAGCCAGCCCTGCTCTTTGCCTAAACAGGGCTGGCAGCAGGACCAGGATTTTATTCTCAGGAGCCAGTCCCAGGACCCTGGCTCTGCCATCCACCAGCTGTTAGAACTGACACAAATTAGTTAACCTTGCTGTACCTCAGTTTTCTCATCTGTCAAACAAGGTAACAGTTCTACTTACCTTCCTGGGGTAGTTGTGAGCACTAAATGGGCTAATTCATAATACCTCATAGCCTTCATAATTGTGTAGTGTCTGTTATTCATTATTTTTATCATCAGTGACTATTTCTAGTTTAGGTATTCTAACTTCTCTTTCTTTTTTTTTAATTTATTTTTATTTATTTAAATTTTACCAGAGAAGGACAGATGAGAGACAGAAAGTGAGAGAGAAAGAAAGTGAGAGAGGGAAAGCGAGAAAGCAAGCCTCCAGGTACGGGTCTCAAACCATGGTCGGCAATATGGGAGTCCAGCGCCCTTAACCACCATGCCACCCGCCGGACCCTAACTTCTCTTTCTACTAAACCAGTCACCTCTACTATCATAGCTAATATTATTCTGAGTTATTTGTCCTGGAAAAGAAATAACTCTCTAAATTACTAGTTGACAAGAGGGAAATCTAGTAGTGCTAGAAAAATCTGCAGTGGCAGAGAGGGAAGAACAGCAGTTTTGGCGCTCAGTGACCCTGGGTTTGAGCCTGCTGTGTCACTAGCTGTGTGATGCTGAGGGTATTATTTAACTTTTCTGAGCCCAAGTGTCCTTATCTGTGGGGGAAATAAGACATACCTCAGGGAGTTGATACAAAGAGCAAACGTAAATAGCTGGAGTGGGATTGTCTACACAGCCTTTCTGAGAACTGCCTTTGGCCCATAGAAATGGTGTACCTCACAGTCATGTTTCTGCTAAATTGTTTTGTCCCACTGGCCACAGCTTCTTTACTGTTTTTAAAGGTTTTTGCCATACAGCATGCGTGCTTGTAGGAGAGACAGAGACAGTGAGAGAGAAAGTGAGGAATCATCCCCCAGAGCATATGGCCATGCCACAATCCCTTCTCCTCGTTTCTCCTCCTGGGATTTTGGGCACACACACACACACACACACACACACACACACACGACACACGCCTGGAGTTTCAAGCCAATGGATCTGGGACTGAAAACTGGGGTCGCCCATGTGTGAGCCCAGTGCCTTAACCACTATGCCGCCTGCTGCCCCCTGGCCACAGCTTCTTTGTCTAGGGCATGAAACCAAAGTCAATTAGATTCTTTTTTTTTTTGGAGAGGTTTTTGCTATAGGGTGCGTGTGCTCGCCAGACAGACAGAGAGAGACAGAGAGATAGAAAGCGAGAAATCACCCCCCAGGGGGAATGGTCACGCCGCAATCCCTTCTCCTCCATTCTCCTCTCGGGATCTTGGGCACCCATGCACACGCACCTGGCGTGAGTTTTAAGCCACCGGGTCCGGGACGCGAACCGCAGTCGACTACGTGGGAGTCCAGTAACATAGCCATTACGCTAACTGCTGGTCCCAGTCAATTAGATTCTTTAAGGAATCTGAATTGGGACAAAAAGCTTCCATCTCAGCCTGGCTGATCTTCTAAAAGAAGAAAATTGGGGACCAGATGGTGGTGCAGAGGTCAAGTGTGACACTCTGACTCACAGGGCAGGATTCCTGGTTTCTGTCCACAGGCCTCTGTCTACACAGGGCAGGCACATGTCCACGAGCTGCGCTGAGTGAAGCTGTGGGTGTATCCTGGCTTGAGGACCCTATTGGGGGGTTTTTCTGAGTGTCTGCCTCTCTCACTCATAGGAAAAATAAATGAATTTTGTAAAGAAAAAAGGAAATGTATGGGGCCAGCAGGTGGTGTGGTGGTTAAGGGCATTGGATTCCCATGTGGCAACTACAGTTCGAGTCCTGGACCTGGCAGCTTGCTTTCTCACTCCCCCAACCCCCTTTCTCTCTCTCTGGTCAAATGAAAATAAATAAATAAAGTTAAATAAAATAATTCTTTTTTTTTTTTTTTTAATTATTTTCTCTCTCCCTCCCTCTGTCCCTCTCTGGGAAAATTAAAATAAAATAAAATTTTAAAAAGTTAAATAAAATAATGTTTTAAAAAATATTTTAAAAAAAGAAACTGCCAAACTGCTTTCCAAAGTGGTCGTGTCTTACCAGCAGTGTGTAAGAGTTTCAGTTGCTCCACATCCTTACCAACATTCAGTATTACCTTTGAAATTTTAGCTATTCTAGTAGTTGTATAGTTGAAACTTATTTCAGTTTTAATTTGCTTTTCTCTAAATGACAGTGACAAGGCATCTTTTCATGTGTTTATTTATACATCTTTTTTGCTGATGTGCCATAACAGATTTTTTTTTTTAAACTTCCGTTTCCACATTATGTTGATTTCCGTGACTGTTTCTATTCAGATGCTAAAGAGCTATGCACTAGTGTGGGTATGAGAAGACTGGCAAATGCCTTTAAGTTTTCTTTATAATGACCCAGGTTTTCTCCTCATGGGTTCCTTAGCGGAACTGCTTCTTCTCTTGAGCATCTCTCCTTTTGGTTGCTAGGAGCTGTGCTTTTTCAGCTCCTGCACACTAGTCTCTAGGGAGTCTGCAGATTCGTACCATGATGCAATGATCCATGCAGGTTCTCCTGGATACTTGCTACCTTTTTCTTCTAGGCTGAATCTCTTCCTAGTCCATACTTGGGCTAATATCTGATGTGTGCATCTTACTACTGACTAGATAGGGTCTAAAGAAGAGTATGGGGCAGTTTAGATATGGCCAGAGACATTCTAAATGTATAAATGCATTTTGTACCATGCTACAGGGCTTACATCTATATCTTATTTAGTGCCCACAATAGCTCTGTGAAAAAGACATAGCTATTTTTATTTTGTAGATGAAGAAACTGAGAATTGAGAAGTTAAGTGATTTCCCAAAATTACACAGTTATAAGGCACAGAGGTGGCATTTAAACCCAGGCATTTAACATAAAGACTGCCTCAAAATACTGCTTCTTTAATGAGAATGTAGCATGGGCCTTACTAAGAAATGTAAATGCTATTCCTTTTCTACTCATCTTTTTTTCCTTTTTCTCCCAAAGAGGTTTTTGTCTTAGGGCTGTGTGCTTGTGGAATAGAGAGGCAGACACAGAGACAGTGAGGGAGAGGGGGAGAAATCACCCCCTGAGCCCCGAGATTGCTACAATCCCTTTTCTTCCATTCTCCTCCCAGGATCTTGGGCACACATCCACATGTGCTCAGTGTGATTTTCAAGCCAGTGGGTCCAGGTCTCGAACCACAGTTGGCTATATGGGAGTCCAGTGATGTAACCACCATGACATCTGCTGGCCCTTCTTCTTTTTATTGTTTTTCATGGGTGATTATATTAGTGGGATCCACTTGGGTATTCCTCCTCCATTCAAAAATGATGCTATGAGAAGAGTTTAAGGGAATTGATAACATAGGTGGAGCCACTAAATAATTATTGGCCAAGTCACTAAATTTGTGTGGTCTCAACAATTTGTGATAAGGTCACAATACTTACATTTAGGATACGCACAATGTCTGCTATGTGGCTGTGAATGAATGATTCTGTGGTTTCATCATAAGGCAAAGATTGGCTGAGAGAAGACAAAGATCTTAAGAAAGTCAGCTTTTGAAATTCACCCTAAAATTGTGGAAAAATCATAAAAACACAATTACACATTATAACCTTTTAAAAATTTTTTAATAATTATTTTTATTTTAACTTTATTTGTTATTATGTTTCAATTTGATCAGAGAAAGACAGAGAGAGAGAGGGAAAATGAGAAAGCAAGCCACCAGGTCTGGGACTTGAACTGTGGTCAGCCATGTGGGAATCCAGTGCCTTTAACCACCATGCTACCTGCTGGCCCCTTTAAGTTTTTTTTTTTAAATAATTAATTAATTAGTTAATTAACATTTGACCAGCAAGAGACAGAGTGAGAGAGAGAGAGGGAAAGTGAGAAAGCAAGCCTCCATGTCTGGGACTCAAACCACAATCAGCCATTTGGGAGTCCAGCATGCTTAACCACCACACCACCTGCTGGCCCTGAAGCTGATTTTTTTAAGGATTATTTTATTCAACTTTATTATTATTATTTTTAATTTGACCAGAGAAACAGAGAGAGAGAGAGAGAGAGGGAAAGTTAGAAAGCAAGTCGCCAGGTCCAGGACTCAAACCGCAGTGGGCCACATGAATCCAGTCTCCTTAACCACCATGCTACCTGCTGGCCCCAACACATTATAATCTTATTTGGTAATTATGGAGGGTGCTTGAAAGTTTCTTGAAATGTTTTAGACATCTGACACTTCATTGAATCTAATATCAGTCTTGTTTTATAAGGGATTTTAGTGAAATTCCTTATCTACTGGCCCCGTGTGGTTGGGAACTAATTTACGCTCTAAACTAGATTACTAGGTGCTCCATGATGGCTGTCCCTACCTTCAGTCTTGGCTTCCTTACCTACTGGCCCCGTGTGGTGGGAACTAATTTCCACTCTAAACTAGATTACTAGGTGCTCCATGATGGCTGTCCCTACCTTCAGTCTTGGTTTCCTTACCTACTGGCCCTGTTTAGTGCTGAGTAAGAGCTTTCTGAAGGTGACTTCTGCTGCTGTTACTTCCAGTTCTCTTGAGTCATTAAAGATGCAATATTTCAGGGCCAGCAGGTGGTATAGTGGTTAAGGCACTGAATTTCCACTTGGCCATCCTCAGTTTGAGTGTCAGACAAAGCAGTTTAGAAATGACACCGGGTGTGTGTGTGCGGGCATTCCCAAAACCCCAGGAGGAGAATGAATTGAGATGTGGCAATCCTGTCTAGGAGGATGATTTCTCACTGTCTCTATCTCCAGCAAACACACACAACCTATGGCAAAAGCCTTAAAACATAAAAATAGATGCAATATTTCAAGTCATTAAGGTTTCCTGTTAAAATCTAAGTTCTGATTTGAAGGAAAAAAACGTTTGTATTAACATTTTCTTTTTCTGACTATAAAAGCAATTCCAATTTATCACAGAAAAAAAAAAAAGAAAAGCAGAAAAAAAGAGAATACAAGATATCAATAATTCTCTATAACTTGGAAGAATTTGCTTTCAATCTTTTTCCCCCTGCAACTAGACAGTGTAAACTGGTATAGCTCTCTGGAGGGTAAGTGAGCAACACCAAGCAAGAAGCTGACTTCATAATCTATTATTACTCATATGGATTAGTATAACTATCCAACATTGGCTTTCTCTACTCTAGTTTTGTTTTGCATGTATAACTTCATTTTATCCCCCTCCCCCCCAAGAACAGTTTTTTAGTCTTTCAAGATTCAGCTCCTTACATTGGCTTTGGTGAAGGGCAAGGGTTTGCAGCTGCAAATTTAAATCAGGGCGGGCAGTTCGATCTGTCTGAGCTTCATGATATCAGTTCCTGACTACCTTGCTATGACTGGCACAACTCACACAGTAATGTAGCTTCACATACAGCTTGGGGAGCACAGGCATTGGAGACACTTGCTGTGGAGATCTCCCTGATGGCTGTAGCCTCTACTGTTTGGATGATGAACATTTTTTTTTAAATTATTTTATTCAACTTTATTTATTTTAATTTGACCAGAGGGAACAGAGTGAGGGGGGTGGGGGAGAAAGCAAGCCACCAGGTCTGGGACTTAAACTGTGGTCATCCATGTGGGAGTCCAGCATCCTTAACCACCACACCACCTGCTGGTCTCCGAACTTCTTTTTTTAAAGAGAAATTTTTGCTATAGGCTGTATGTGCCAGAGAGACAGAGAGAGAGAGACACACAGAAGCAGAAAGTGAAAAATCACCCTTTAGGAGGATGACCACGCCACAATTCCTTCTCCTTCATTCTCCTCTCAGGTTTATTGGCACACGTGCACACGCTCCTGGCGTGAGTTCCAAGCTGCCAGGTTTGGAACTTGAACCATGGTAGGCTACGTGGGAGTCCAGTGACATAACCACTATGCCATCAGCTGGTCCCTTGGATGATGAATTTCTTTCTTTCTTTCTTTTTCTTGAGAGGTTTTTGCGGTAGGGCATGTGCGCTCGCCAGACAGACAGAGAGAGACATAGAGACAGAAAGCGAGAAATCAACCCCCAGGGGTATGGTCATGCCGCAATCCCTTCTCCTCCATTCTCCTCTTGGGATCTTGGGCACGCATGCACACATGCCCGGCGTGAGTTCTAAGCCACTGGGTCTGGGACGCGAACTGCGGTCGACTACGTGGGAGTCCAGTGACATAGCCATTATGCTAACTGCTGGGTCCCCGGATGATGAATTTCTTAATAGCCTTGACCTTGGGCACTCATCGGGAGCAATTTGTGCAGTGAGTAGGCTACACATGGTCATGGCCCTTTTTGGCACTGCAGTTGTTCCTTCTTTGTCATCTTTGGAAGTAAGGTCACGAGAGAGCTCTCCATTCTAATTTTGCCCCCTCCAATCTATTTCCCCAGCTATCTCCAGACTCATCTTTATCCAGTACAAATCTGATCAGAATACCTCCAGGATACCCAGGAACCCATATGCAAGAATATTTGTCAAACAGGTATAACAACAACAACAACAAAAAGAATAGAAAGAAACTATTGAATAAATGGCTCGCAGTGGGATATTAAGTAAGTTATTTATTTCCTTATGTATTCCTTATTTGTTTTATTGTTCTTAGGTTAAAAATCAATATTCGTGGGACCAGCAGTTGGCATAATGGCTATGTCGCTGGACTCCCATGTAGTCGACCGCAGTTTGAGTCCCGGACCCAGTGGCTTAAACTCACGCCGGGCGCGTGTGCATGCGTGCCCAAGATCCCGAGAGGAGAATGGAGGAGAAAGGATTGCAATGTGGCCATCTCCCCTGGGGGGTGATTTCTCACTTTCTGTCTCTCTGTCTCTCTCTGTCTTTTTGCCAAGTGCAGGCGCCCTATAGCAAAAATCTCTCCAAAAAAAGAAAAGAAAAGAAATTAAACGAAAGGAAAGAAAAAGAAAAGAAAAGGAAAAAGAAAAGAAGAGAAAATCAATATTCGTATCCTGATTTTTTAAGGCCTGGTAGTGTTGGTCTGTGTTTAACTCTTCAGTCTCACCTTGTGCCACTCTCCCACTTGGTCATCATGACTTGGGTTCCTTTAAGTTCCTTGAACATGCTGTGTCCCTTTCTGCCATGAGGTTGTTAAACATCTCATTCCATATTTCTAGAACACTCCCCTATTCCTCAGAGTTCGAGGGTTGTTTGCTTAGAAATACCTTCCCTCACCACCAGGTTGTGCTTAGGTCCTCTGTTAGGTGCTCTTGCAGGACACACTGATAAATTAATGCTTCACCTTAATGATGAAATCCTGTCTGTCATTAAGTAGGATAATACAGATTTCTAGCTTCTGATCTAGAAACATTTTTCTCTCTCACCATATATGATGATTTGACTCCTTATGATTACATGCATTTGTCTCAACAGAAAAGAAAATCTGAAAATATGTAAACCAAAATGTTAAGGATAGGTGTCTCAAGAGAGTGGGATTCGGGAAGCTTAACCTTTAGGTTTTTTTTTTTTTTTGAGAGGTTTTTGCTATAGGGCGCGTGCTCTCGCCAGACAGAGGGAGACAGAGGACAGAGAGACAGAAAGCGACAAATTACCCCCCAGGGGAGATGGCCACGCCACAATCCCTTCTCCTCCATTCTCCTCTCGGGATCCTGGGCATGCACGCACACGTGCCCGGCGTGAGTTTTAAGCCACCGGGTCCAGGAGCAAACCGCGGTTGACTACGTGGGAGTCCAGAGACATAGCCATTATGCCAACTGCTGGTCCCAACCTTTAATTTTTTTTAAGTTTTGCCAGAAGGCATGTGTGCTCGCTCAAGAGAGACAGAGAGAGAAAGAGAAAGAGAGAAAATGAGACAACACCTTCTCATGGAGAATGGTCACACCACAATACCTTCTCCATTTCTCCCTTCCTTTGGGATTTTGGGGACACACGCACATGTGTCCTGGTGTGTCTTTCAAGCCACCAGGTCCAGGACTTGAACCATGATGTCATCCATGTCGGATTCAGCTGCCTTAACCACACCACAAGCTGGCCTAACTTTTAACTTCTATTATGGTTTTCTATGAATTTTATAATTTTTATAAATGTGAGTATAAATATGAGAGGCCTTCCAAAAATTATGGAAAATGTGTATTTTGAAAATACTATGCATGAATTTAAAACATTTTGCACAATAAACACATGTTTTAATTTCATTTTCCACAAACTTTTTGAAGTCCTCTAGAATAATTTATAAATATATGTATATGTAAATATCTGTCATTATAAATGTAAAACAAACGTAAAAATTTATAATCTAGAAGCAGGCAAGTGGCATGGTGCTTAAGGTGCTGGACTCTCACAAGGCCAACTATGGTTGGAGTCCTGGACTGGGTGGCTTGCTTTCTCATTTCCCTCTTCCTCAATCTTGCTGTCTCTCACTGGTGAGTATAAGTGCCCTATAACAAATAAAATAAAGAAAGAAAGAAATAAAATCAGTACTTGAACATTTATAAGCTATAATATAAAATTATTTGCATAATAAAAATGTACATTAAGATCTTTTTAAAGAATTATTAATTTAATTTATTTATTCATTTATTTTAATTTGACCAGAGAGAGAGAGATCAGAGAGACAGGGAAAGTGAGAAAGCAAGCCACTAGACCTGGGACTTGAACCATGGCTGGCCATGTGGAAGTGTCCAGCGCCTTAACCCACCATGCTCCCTGCTGGCCCCAAGATCTTTGTTAAATGGAGTGATAAGTTGGATAACTCATGAAGACTGCCAGTGCATACCTTTAGCTCACCATTAAAAACCTCCTCAATGGACTGGATCAGCTTCTCAGTGATGGCCTCGCCAAGGGGCCCCTGCTGGGTGAGCTGCCTGCAGCTATCTGTAAAGGACTCCCAAGGAAGTACAGGGATGTCAGAGATGTCCGAGTCTATTATGGAAAGAAAGACATCAGATAATACCTCTGTACAGCGCGCAGTGACATGGTTTAGTGGGGGAGGACCACCGATATCAGGACAGACAACTTTTCTACATCCTCTGTGATCTTGACTGAGTCCTTTCCCTTCTCAAGTCTCAGTTTTCTCAATTACAAATTCAATGTTCTCTAAGGGCTTCCTAAACTATTGTATAAAAGTCTTTTGATGCTGAGCTGTAGCCGAGGGGTTAAGAGCATGGACTTTAAATTTCAGTTTGAGACTTGAATCCTGGCTCTACCAGTTATTAGTTTCATGCCCTTTATCAAGTTAGTTTGCCTCCTGGGACATTAGTTTCCTCATCTGTGAAATGCGGTTTTAAGGATTAGGTGACGTACTTCATGCAAAGTATCTGATACAAAGCAAGCACTTATGTAGTAGATATTATTCTTCAAACTCAAGACGATGACTCTGTAGTGACAAGAGCTTAAAACATCATAGCTGCCCCTTGGTGACACTCATCTCTTCCCACTGGGCCAAGCTGCAGGATCTCCTTCCCGACCCAGGCCATGCTTTGATTAAGGGCACAGGTTCCTGAGCAGGTATATCCACGTTCAGATCCTGGCTCTGTCTCTTTCTAGCATTCTGACCTGGTGGGACTTTAGTTTCTCTAGGCCTATTTCATTCCCAAAATGGGGATGACAACAGAACCAACCTCATTTGGCTGATACAGAACTAGCCCCAAAGAAGTGCCAGCAGTTTTCCCTTGCCCCAAGTGACAATGGCATAATTTTCCTCTTCAAGTATCTTTACATCCATACCTCCTCTGTCTTCCACTATGAAATCCAGTATGCCTAGTGAGCTCACAGTCTATCATCTAAGGATTTCTAACATTCTACTTTGGAATTCGTTTTGGTTTCAATGCCTCTTCTGAAAACTCTTCCCATTTCCTGCCACATTCTTGTCATCTACTAACTGAAGTAAACCATGTTCTCATTCACCTCTAAAGTTTGCACAGGATGTTCCTCCGGCCTGTGTTCTTCTCTTTCCTCTCTTCCACTTTCCTTTAACTCTCTTCTAACTCCTACTCGTCCTCAGGCCGCAACTCCAGGATGCTTTTCCTGAATCCCCTCTTTACCCACTTTGGCTAAGTATTCTCCTAGCCACTAATAAACCTCTGTATCCACTCTGCTCCCCTCCCCCCATCACACAGATTACACTGAGTTCCAATGACCTCTTTATTTACAAGTGCACTGTGTCTTTTTTGTTCACTGCTATATTTCCATAGCTCCATCAGGTTTACAACATAGTGGCGCTTCAAGGAACATTTGCTGAATGAATGTACAAATGAAGAAAATATAATTCCTCAAACGCACCGAGGTCTTCCCTGTCTCATATGCATGCTATTCCATCTATGTGGAATGCTCTTTCCTCTACTTCTCACATGGGTTGCCCTTTAGATCCTGGAGGTCTCCTTTAGGTCTAAACAGCAGCGCCTCATACAGGTGTTCTCTGACAACCAAAGCCTAAACTATGTTCCCATCTCTGTCCATTTTTGCCCATGCTTCTCACAACTTGTAATTACTTTAGTTACTGTTTGTTTACTTTTTTTTTCCTGCACTATAGTGTATATTTTATGAGGGCAAGGACCCCATCAGTCATGTTCACTATTCTATGCCCAGCACCTGGTACTCAAAACATGCTGTAGAATAAATGAAGGGTAGCTATTCTGCAATCCAGATCCCATCTTTGCATAAAGTTTTCCCACTCTTTGTCAACTAACACCCCATCCTTTTCTTTCCAGGACTCTCTCTAGTACCTAGACTCTGCTGCAGGGTTTGTAGGACTGTCTATCTCAGGACCAAGTTCAGTTTCTTGTATGTCTAGAATAATGTATCTTATTTATCCTGCTGTATTCCAAAGTCTCATAGTCAGGGACTAAAGTCATTTTCAAAATCTAGTCAGGGTTGGTTACCAGGTAAGTACTCAATCAATACCTCTTGGCTTGACTTGGCAAGATTCCCTTCTCTCTGCCCTCTCCCCACCTTAGTTGACCCTTTTCCCTTTTCACCTGTAAGATCAATGCTACTTGGGCCTCTTTTAATATCCTCTAGGTTGCTCAGCTGCAAATCCACACTTCCCGAATCATCATCAGAAGCACAAGGGATTACTACTTCTTCCCGACCATAGATCCTAGGAGTGAAGAAGGGATTAGAAAACCTATAACTTTTCAGGACTATTCTGCTTCATCAATACAAAGTCTAAATGTCACTTTCTCAGAGAGTTTAGTGATCATCCACCTCAATTAAGTAGGTTCCTCACATCCAGTCCTACCGTTACTTTATTATTTTCTTGATAGTATTTAACCATCATTTACAATGATCTTTTTAAAAAGAATTATTTATTTATTTATTATTATTATTGTTATTTTAATTTGACCAGAGAAGGAGAGAGAGAGAGGGAGAAAGTGAGAAAGTAAGCCACCAGCTCCGGCATTTAAATTGCAGTTAACCATGTGGGAGTCCAGTGCCCTAACCACCATGCCCCGTGCCAGCCCCACATTTACAATTATCTTGTTCATTTGACTGTCTCCTATCAGATGGTAAGCTCTGTTAGAAGAGAAACCTTGTCTATGTGGTCATAGTTGTATTCTCAGCACCTAGCACTGTCAGTTTCATGGGGAATGAATGGATAGGCAGGAAATACTATGCTGCTGTTAAAAACAGATTGAGAGGGCTGGCAGTTGGTGTGGTGGTTGGGGCACTGGACTCCCATGTGGCCAACTGTGGTCTGAACACAGACCTGGAAGATTGCTTTCTCACTTTACCCCTCTCTTGTGAGCATGTGTCTCCTATAGCAAATTAAAGGGGAAAAAAATTCTTAACAAACAAACAAGATTGAAGTAGAACACCTCCCCCATCTTTCTCAATCTTCTTTATCCCATTCTACTTGTTCTTTTTGTATAGCACAGAACACCTTCCAACATATTACTCAGTTATTTGTAATGTTCATCATTTACTATTTCCTCCTGTTAAGATGTAGCGAGCTCCTCAAGGACAAAGATCCTTGGCTGCTTCATCCAATGAATGTATCTCAAGAGCCTAGAACAGTGCCTGGCACGTGGTAATGCTCAATACTGGTAGAGTGAAAGACTGAGTAGATCTATATTTACTGAATGTTTAGCATAGATTAAGGAACAAAAAAGCAGGTCGCCAAACAATGGGCATAATGATCCCATTACTATTTAAACAAAACAATATTTTCATTGTAGTGATAAGTGTGTATTTGTGTTGAAACACATGCAGAAAAAACTTACAGAATTTGAGCCAATCATCTGTGGAGAGGAATTGTTGAGGGAAACTTTTAGTTATTAAACTTCTATATTGCTTAAAATTTTAAAATATTAGTATGTATACTAAATACTGAAAAAGACGTGGAACAAATACTCAGAAACCTTATCAACTGTAGTTAGCAATGTCAGTTGCTACAACCACTTTTGAAACTGGACATTATCTAGTAAAGCTGCAATACAACAGAATTAGTTAATTTCATAATGAACACGATTTCTCTTTTCTTTTCTTTTTTTTTTTTTTTTACATTTTTTCCATCTGTCAGATGTATCCTCCCCTTGTACCTCACACTCATCCTCCACTACCCACTCTCTACCATCACTGTCCCCCCTCACAGTCTCTAGTGTTTCTACCGGTCCTCTCCACCATCACACAGTTAAGTCTCTCAGCCTCTGCCGTAGCACTCCTTACAAACTGAGTGGGTACATACAATGTGTATCTTTCAAAGTCTGGCTTACTTCAGTCAACATTTAAGTCTTCTATATTCATCCATTCTGAGTCAAACAATAGGATCTCTTGTTTCTTTCCTTTTTTTTTTTTTTTAGAGAGAGAGAGATTTTTGCTTTAGGGTGTGAGCACTTACTGGAGAGACATAGAGACAGAAAGTGAGAAACTACCCCCCAGGGGGGATGGCATGCCACAGTCCCTTCTAATCCATTTTCTTCTTGGGATTTTGGGCATGCATGCACACGTGCCTGGCCTGAGTTTCAAGTCACTAGGTCCAGGACTTAAACTGCGATTGATATGTGGGAGTCCAGTGATGTAATCATGCCATCTGCTGGTTCCGAGATCTCACTGATTCTTATAGCTGTGTAATATTACATAGTTTATATGTGCCACAGTTTCTCAATCCAACCATTCTACATCTGATGAATTTGTTTAAAGTTTATTACTGGAAGAAAGAGGGAATGACAGACCTCCCGGATAGGGTCTTTTTAATTTTTTTTTGGAGAGGTTTTTGTTATAAAGTGCGTGCACTCGCCAGAAAGACAGGGAGAGACAGAGAGACACAGAAACAGAAAGCGAGAAATCACCCCCCATGGGGGATGGCCACGCTGCAATCCTTTCTCCTCCATTCTCCTGTCGGGATCTTGGGAACACACGCACACGCACCCAGCATGAGTTTAAGCCACCGGGTCCAGGACTCGAACTGTGGTTGACTACATGGGAGTCCTGCAACATAGCCATTATGCCAACTGCTGGTCCCTCTTGGATAGGGTCTTTACACTGCAGTCTACCCCCAACCTCACGGCCACCCAGGATCATGGGGCATATCCAAGAGTTCCCAGCATGTTCACTAGACACCGCGGTGCGAACCTGGAGCCCAATATATGGCCTCCAGCATCACAGCAGTGCACCTACTGTCTGCCCTACCACGAGTAGACCAGTTTGGTTTTAATTAACTAGTTTATTAAAGAAATAAATGAAAGGGTGTCCAAAAAGTCATGCTCAGTGGGATTTTCAAGTCACCAAGTCAGGGACTTGAACCAAGACCCCAAAAGTAATGTACTTTTTTTTTTTTTGTAAATAATTGTTTTATTTGGGAGCAGCAGTTGGTGTAATGGCTATGTCACTGGACTCCCATGTAGTCAACTGCGGTTCAAGTCCCGGACCTGGTGGCTTAAACTCACGCTGGGTACGTGTGCATGCATGCCCAAGATCCCGAGAGGAGAATGGAGAAGGGATTGCAGCGTGGCCATCCTCACTGGGGGTGATTCTTGCTTTCTGTCTTTCTGTCTCTCTGGCGAGTGCACTCACCATATAGCAAAAGCCTCTCCAAAAAAAAAAAAAAGAAAGAAAGAAAGAAAGGAAGAATTGTTCTATTTAACTTTATTTATTTATTTTACTTTGACCAGGGAGAAAGACAGAGCGTGAGAGAGCAAAAGCAAGTGAGAGAGAAAGTGAGAAAGGAAGCTACCAGGTCCAAGATTCGAATCCTGGTGGGCCAGCACGTGGGAGTCCAGCACCCTTAACCACCACACCACCTGCTGGCCCCAAGTAAGGTACTTTTAAATCTAATCTCTATTAACATTTTCTCCATCATTAAGTCCAGGACACCATTAATCATCTTATTATTGAGCTGGAGTTCTTTATATATTCTAGATTGGGCCTGTTCAATAGAACTTTCTGTGATAATGGAAATGTCGTTTAATTTTGTGTTGTTCAATATGATACTAGCTACCCGTGGCTATGGAGCATTTGAAATGTGGCTAGTGCAGTGAGGAATTGAATTTCAAATTTTATTTTAGTTAAATTCAAATGAAAATATATATAGCTAGTGGTTACCACGACAAACAGTGCAGTACTAGACTGAGAAAGGATCAAATCTCTCCAATGCGGGACAATACTGTTTGGGTCAACAGTAATGGTAACAAGTACCACCATCCGGGTATACTTCGCATTCTTAATAGCTAAAGGCTCAGATTCTGGAGTAAGACTGCCTGGATTCAAATCTTTTCGTTTCCTTCTATTTAATATGGACATAGTAACAGCACATACCTCATAGACTAGTGATAAGATGTAATTGAAATAATGTATGCAGAGTGCTTGGTGCCTGTGGGGTTAACACTGTAAATGGTCGACAGTGGGACAACTTGGTAAATCTGTAAAATTGGGACTAATAAACTGCTCACAAGTCACTGACTTGCTTCTCAAGTCAAATAAATGTGTCTTATAGGCTACTTATTAATAATAGAAGAGATAACCTTTAGAGGACATTGATACACGTTAAAGAAAAAGAAAACCCTTTGGGATATTACTCTCCCCCACCCACGCGCCCCTTCGCGTTCCTTTAAAATAGGCCGGGCTGCAGCGAGACCGGTGAGTGACACTGCGATTGGCCAATCACCGCGATTAGCCAATCAGAGGCGGCCCCGTCTCGGGCCCACCCGAGACATCGTCCAATCGCGTCCCGGTAGCTCCCGGAATAGGGCCGTTGAGGGACGGTCGTTCCAAGTGTGCTCGGGCGTGGGGGGGAGGTGGGGCCTGCACACGGAAACCGCGAGGCTTTTTCGGCGCGAGGACCCGGATTCTGGCCGCAGCTGCTGCG